GGGAAAAGCCGACCTTTCTGTCTCTCTTCTCCACCTGAGAGGACACTGGTGTGTTGGAGGAGCTGTCGGGATGGGGACTCCAAGCTCATGGAAATGGCTAATTTATCCCCTTGGGTGCCTGGGCCCATCTCTTGTCTGGCAGGACACAGTGGTGGCGCTCCAGGCCCTGTCCCGATACGGAGCCTCCACCTATGCCAAGAGCGGAGGAGCGTCCACAGTGACCCTGCAATCCACAGGGAATTTCCAGGCCCAGTTCCAGGTGGATCATACGAACCGTCTGCTGCTCCAGCGTGTGGCACTGCCAGAGGTGCCAGGGGACTACAGCACGGGGGTGACAGGAGAAGGATGTGTCTACGTGCAGGTGAGGGCCCTGGGACACGGGGGAGAAGGGAGAGGCTGCTGCTGAGGGGAGCCCATCTCATTCCCATGGAGATGGCAGGGTGGGCGGGCTGGGTAGGGAGGGAAGGAAAAGAGAGGAAGAGATGGGGGAGGAGAAAATAGGAAAGAGGTGTGAGGAGGAGAGGGAGTTGACAGAGAGAGTTGGGGAATGGGGAAAGAGAGAGAAGAGATAAAGGAAAGAATGAAACTGAGCGGAGGGAAGGAGATGGACAGATGGAGACACACAGAGAAATGTGTATTCTCTTTCAGACCAGCCTGAGGTACAACGTGCTCCCCAAGCCAGGCGAGGCGCCATTCGCTCTGGAGGTGCACACAGTCCCCAAGACATGTGACAGCCCCAGGGCCCAGAGGACCTTTGACATCTCCATAAACATCAGGTAACTCCCCATCACAGGGCCAAGCCTTCTGTAGCAGCCTTAGGGCTGGGGACACGTCACTCCAAGAGCCCCCAGGGGTGAGGGGAGACCCCAGAAAAGTAGATATAAATCATTATTTTTCTAAAAATTAAAAAATGGATCTTTACATTAAATCGTGGTATTTTCTTAATTGCAAGTGCTCTTTTCAATGTCAATCAGATTTTGTATTTCTGTGTTGTCAGCTCTTCCCCCCCCAAAAATTGTTAAAGTGATTGTTTTGTGCTTGTTACTCTAAGAGCTTCAGTAACATCCTTTGTGTGAAAGAAACACAAAGTCAGACACAAAACTGCCCGGCCAGTAGCCCGTCCTCTATCTGCAACCTCCACCACCCTCCCACAGAGCGAACTACTCCTAGTCACAGGAACTGAATGCTTTGACTTGACCATTCTCCTTCAGCAGGATTTGCAGTCTGAGTTCAATCAGACTCGTGGTCCTAGATCACTTTGGTGCTTTTATAAAACCTACCCTTAGCAGTGTGTATATAAAAAAGCTCACAATTGCTTTGCTAGTGTATGGAAATAACTTCCCAGTGCTAACACTAAACCAGTTTGAATCTGAAGTGACAGAAATGTTATCCCAATAAAACCGATGTTTTTAGTAATAATACAGTTTTAGCCCCTGATGCTGCAAACACTTCTCACATATGCTCCAGTTTCCTCACCTGTGCCTCTGCATTGGCGTTTATGGAGTAGGATCCAGCCCAGGATTTTTTATACTAATGGGTGGGACCCCATGAG